GGGCTTGCGGCAATCACATGTGACGACCCTGGGCTGGACTCTGCTTCGTCCATGGTGAAAGCCGATCCGGTGATCCACAGCACGAAGTTGATGTATTTCCTCAGCGATCAGCACGGATCAGCTCTAGGCATGACGAAGCGGATATTGTCCTCTTTTGGAAGACCAAACAAAGTAGTTTCGCTTTCACAACGAAGCACACAGCGTCTTCAGGACATGGCGGCAGCGGCAACAATACTACAGTGAGAATAAAAGTTATGCCTTCTTTCTTTGCGTGAACATTTGGGCGGTGTTATGCAAATCTTCCCACATCGTGACGTAGACATGTGGGGGTGTGTTAGAACGAGCCGTTTTAGGTAGGCGTGGCTGACTCTTAACTTTTATAAAGAATATCTCTTTGGATTTGAGACTTTAGTCTTTGCAACTTTACAGATCTTCTTTATGCACCAAGAGCTTGTAACACTCCAAAGAGAAAGGAAAAATTGAAATCGCATCATATGACCCCTTTAAAATAAAAAAAATCCTCTTGGTCGACTAACTTTTTCATCTGGTAGACTCCTCTTAGGACAGTGCCGAAGTTGCCTGAGCCCAACTCTCCATCTTCCAGAGTCAGGTCGCTCCGCTTCACTGTCGTTGACCGCAGCTCTTCAGGATCTGCATATGGACTCTCGTACACCTGTGTGTCCATTGGCATAGCCTCTGCCAAAACAATAGTGTGAGCGTTTAGTCAGAAGAGAACGATTTTAGACTTAAAGATCATTTAAACAAGTGGTGGTGTGCTGAAGCAAGTCAACTAACCTGTGTTGTTGAAGATATTAGGCTTAGGAAGTTCACCTCTGATGTTTGATCTAAAGTTATAGGGATTTTCAGTATGAACCTATAAACACAGAACACAATTATTAGCATAGAACAGATTACATATAACGGATTAGCATAGAAAAAGCTGATAGGACACAGGCATGTTATCTGAAATGCCTGCATGCATCAATGGGACAGAGGGACAGGGTCAAACCAAACTTTCCTGTGTTCTTCATGGCACCTTAAATCAGAATCAAATGCATAATTGCATTTACTGAGATGTTTCAATGGTTAATGAATGGCAATTCATTATACGTGATGCGATCAGTGTCCATGAAGAAGAGGAGAACCTTCTTCCAAAAGGTCAAAAGCCAACACGTAGTGTATAAATAAATAAAAAAAGAGATCTCTTGCAGATAGGATTGATAATTATGTCATTTATATCATTAAAAAGGAGTGATAGAGAAGGAGAATGAAAATATGGATGCATGATTGGGGTAATGGCACCTGTTAGAAGATGAAAAAGCAACTAGACAATTTCAACACAAATGATTGCCATCTCTTCCAAAAAAGAAAAAAAGTCATTCATTGCTTTTGTTCAAACCCTGAGGTGCAAGCGGATTGATTTGATGACTGATTTGAAACATTCGACATAAGCCGCAATTTGTGAGTCATTTAAATAGCACTTCTCACACAAAGTGTACAGCAGACTAATTCCAGAAGACTTTGGCGTCAGGCAGACGTATCTCAAAAGGGAGCAAAATTATCCTACCTCCCTTTTGGACCAGCATTTGTGCCAGAAGTACTATGATGCATTCAAATGCATTTGAACTAATATCTAATCAAATGTATAGTTCTGGATCTAATTTTCCATTGGATAAGATGCAATAGCTGTTGTAAAATTCAAATGAAGGCAACATCTGTGAGCACACATTCTATATTGCCAAATTTCTATGTTGCTTGATGGGCGTAAATAGCTACTATCTGAGCTCATATCAACAATGTAAGAGCCAAATAACCACTCAAAACATATCATGCCAAATTAGTGAGTAAATACTACAACCAACCTTCCCAATGCAGCTTGGCATAATAAAAATACATTTACAGTTTTTGTTTTTACTGTTGAAGAGAAATGGTTTAGGTTTTCAAATCCTTGCTGAGAAAACATCTTAAACCAGTCTAAGCTGTACTAGCTGGTCTCCTGGTTTAGTTAAAATATGCTAAAATACTATAGGATATATAATAGTATTATAAAAACTTTCAGCTACAGAAATAAAAATAAATTCAAGCAAATGTGCCCTGACCTACATCCTTTATCCACCTTATTTTGCAAGGCAGAAGTAAGCTATTTTCTTTGAATGTGCGAGATTTCCGATTCATTAGCCGCTATTGGTCAATAACTAGAAGAATAAAAAAGTGCAGTAAAAGGTAAAACTTTTTGCCTACAAACCAGTGTTCATGATTTTGATAATAAATTAAAATAATACGATAACAAATACCAGTAGAGCTAAAATAACTGGAAGCGAATTGCATCGTAAGCCTTGCACATTCAAAATAAAAATAGCTGCGCCCGCACTTATGTTACAAATAAGGTGGATAGGCAATCAAGGTGAAAATGTGTCAAATGGATGGTAATAATGCACAACCATTCTTTTAAAGGCTTAGTTCACCCAAAAATGAAAATTCTGTCATGAATTACTCACCCTCGTGTTGTTCGAAACCCGTAAGACCTTCGTTCATCTTCGGAACACAATTTAAGATATTTTTGATGAAATCTGAGGGCTCTCTGACCCTCCCATAGACAGCAAGGTAACTACCACGTTCAAGGTCTAGAAAAGTACCAAGATGATCGACAAAGTAGTCCGTGTGACATCAGTGGTTCAACTGTAATGTTACGAAGCTACGAGAATACTTTTTTTGCACAAAGAAAACAAAAATAACGACTTTATTCCACATTTTCGTCTCTACTGCGTCACTTTGGACGCGCGTTCACGACAGTACCATGACGCGAGTGTGTGGCAGCGCCAGCGCTGACCCAGATCTGGCGTCATTATTTTTGTTTTCTTTGCGCAAAAAGGTATTCTCGTAGCTTCGTAACTTTACAGTTGAACCACTGATGACACACGGACTACTTTGTCGATCATCTTGGTACGTTTCTGGACCTTGAACGTGGTAGTTACATTGCTGTCTATGGGAGAGTCAAGGTCCTACGGGTTTCGAACAACACGAGGGTGAGTAATTAATGACAGAATTTTCATTTTTGGGTGAACTAACCCTTTAATTTAATTCTGAGTGTAAATCAGAAATTGATTATATCTATGTGTCTATATGAATGTGAGTAGTTATAGATTGGATGTGATGTACAGGGCAGTGAATGGAGGAAGAGATCAGAGAGGGGCGAAGTTAGAAGCAAAAACCACACGCAAGCAAGGCGGGTGTCCTACCACTGTCAGTGGGGGATAGGGAGGAGGAGAGGGGTGTGTTAGTGCACCTTTTTTTGGCCAGGTTTGGGGAAGGAGTATGATTTGATTCTGGAGAGAATCCCACCTGTGGCACCTTGCTAGAAACCACAATTTTAAAGAGCATTAGGTTATTTTTATCCTACACTATTTGATGCTCATGTTTAATGCTATACATCCATGACCCATTAATATTGCGTTATACTGTCTTCAGTAATTAGCTCTGCAAATTCACGAATTCAGTGCACATTCAGCAACATTGACATGATAGCATTTGCAGTGGCCCTTGTGTTACGTGGATTGGCACAGCCTAGTTCAGTGGTTCTCAGCAGGCTTTACTTCAGGACACAGATTTAACCCAACACAGGAGCAGAAGTGGTTAAATGCCCTTAAAATCAAATGCATACACTGCATAAATTAATTAATGAGGCGTATAAGAAAGTGTGTAATTTTCTCAATAAGCGGAAAACGTACCATTTTGGTTTCACAACGTCTTTAACTTAATCATTCATAATCTGCATCAGGTTTTTGGGTTTTCAGGTTTTTGAGGATGAGGAAATGGAATAAGCTTTAATTTATTTTGCTGCTGAGCCAGATGATACAGAGACCCTAACAGGACACGGTGATGGGGAAAAAATGGTCTTGGGGGAAAAATGATATTTCGGTGTGTTTGCAGTTGCTTGCAAAAGCTTTGTGTTCTTTGTGAGGGAATGCAACGTTTCTCTGAGTAACGCAAAACTTTCGTGAGCGAACGGGAAGTTTCTGTTCCTTGTGAGCAAATGCAAAGTTTCTTGGGGGAATCCAACATTTTTGCAAAGCGAACACAATTTTCTCGAGGGAACTTTTGCTTGCTTGGAGGAAAACAAAACTTTCATGAATGAATGCATAGTTTCTTGGATAGTAATTTTCCCATCATCACCATGTCTGTAAATTATGGTTAGTTCCTTTTTCTTATTGCATTTAACATGGTCTTTCCCTATTGTCTGTGACAACATTTTTGGGTCACGAACCACCGGTTGAGAACCACTTCTTTACTTTATCACACTAGCAAGAACTTACACTAAGTTTAATGAACAGTTTAATTTCCTTAAATGTGTGTATGTTTTTAAAAATATATATATTTTCAGTGAAGCAATTAACAATTATCTGTGGATGTTTTAAACAGTACTACAGTCCTCAATGTGACTGCTTTCTATAGTCTGACATGTCAGTGCACTTTAAAGTCTTTTCTTTAAAGCAAGCTCATATATCAGATCACATTCTCACTGCTACGTTTGGTTCGAGATGGGACTGTACTTACCTCTGAGTTATGTGATGGTCTCGGGCAGGTCTCGGTTAGCACTCGGAGCAGGCCATCAGGCTTGTACGTATAATGTTCTACCAGCTATAGCACACAACACAGTGCACATCAAAGTCAGATTCTGGACATCCTCACAGTATCACAGAGTATTGTGGTCACGTTTCTCAAGCTGAGGCCTGTTTCACAGAATACTTTGTTTTTCACCAACGGCCGATAAACTACCATTAGTGTTTTGTGTATGTTTCTTTGGTAAGGCTTCATCTGAAAAGAATATACATCATTTATGAACACACTGTATAGCTTTATATAGGATGCTGTGTTTATATAATTTCTTTACATACTCCAAAAGAGCGCACCTCTGAAAAGCTACACAGTAAAGTTGTGACGCACCACAGATATCAGTCTATTTCTACATCAACATACACTTTCAATGCACAGTTGCTCACCCACCTCATTCGAACCATGCAGAGCTTCTCCTAAACACAACGTGAGAGATGTGTCTGAGGACTAGTTAATGGCCTAGCTGTAGCATTTACCTTGCTAAAACTTTGATGCCATGCATCATGCGCAGCCACTCAACCAGGAAATCTAAATAAAACATGGCGTTTGTCCTGTTGGTCACCACATTCAAAACAATTCTCTTTAGGACAGTGGGTCATAACATATACAATAGACAAGCCTGAAAAATAATAAATCACTTTTTGCTAAGTATCTGAGGTCTTTATTTTCTATAATGATAAACATAATGATTTTTAATTGAAGTCACTTATGCTCACCAAGGCTGCATTTATTTGATCAAAGATATAGTAAAAACTGTAAAATTGTGAAATATTTTTGCAATTTAATATAAATGTTCTTTTTTTAAATATATGTCAAAATCTAATTTATTTCTGTGATCAAAGCTGTATTTTCAGCATCATTACTCCAGTCTTCAGTGTCACATGCAGTGTTTGGGAAAGTTACTTTTAAAAGTAATGCATTACAATATTGCGTTACTCCGTAAAAAAGTAACTAATGACGTTACTTAGTTTCCTCTTCTAGATATTAATGCCGTTACTTTACTAGTTACTTGAAAAAAGTAATCTGATTACGTAACTCGCGTTACTTGTAATGCGTTACCCCCAAACACTGGTCACATGATCCTTCAGAAATCATTCTAATATGCTGATTTGCTGAATGTAAAAACAGTTCGTTTTTTCTTGCTGCTAGTTATTTATTTCAGGATTCTTTCATGAATAAAAAAATTCAAAAGAATTGAATTTATTTCAAATACAATCTTTTGTAACATTCTGAAGGTTTTTTACTGTCACCTTTGATCAATGTATGTAAAGACTTTGAAGTCTGCTCATCATCTGCTCTGAAGTCTCTTGACAGGATTTATTTACCTGCCAAAGTGTGTCGAACTTCTTCCCATCAGGAATGGAGAGTTTGCCAGCCTTGTCCTTATCAATACGATAGTGCATGACATGGTTATTATGCAGGAGACACAGCGCATAGGACACGTTTCTGCCATTGTTTTCTCTTTGTCTAATTCTGTCAGGAGGAAAGAGGAGGATAGAGAGTAATCCACAGCCATTTACAGAGGCTCTTTCAAACTGTCACCTGATTACAGTATACTCTACACAAATCAACACTAGATGGAGCTGGAGGAGAAAAACTGATGTTTTCAAAACATTTAAGATTCGCTATTGAGATTCAGTGTGGATGCAGTTGTTAAACCAACGTTTAATCGAAATGCAAATATAAAAAATAAACAGCAAGTTATACAAAAAAAAAAAAGGTGAATATAGACATGTTTTAGCTTTAGTAAAAACTAGGAAATTGGAAGCTAATGACACGATTCTCATGATAATAAAGCCACATTTGTCTTATAAGCAAACTTTCTTCTTCTTCCATCTTTCTGTAGACTATCACACCACATACGTGTGTTTTAAGTGTGCTATTTAAAGCAAGCACACACCACCCCCACCCAGCCCTGCTCTTGTTTTCCGTCTTCGGTCACTTCAGGAAGTGCTCTCAAACACTGTCACAGCGGAAAGCTCTCGCTGCCTCGCTTCTTTCACTTCAGAGCAGTGGCGCTACAGTCCAAAGCCCTGGCACATGCCTCACCCAGCGCTTTCAAAACATTTAAGATTCGCTATTGAGATTCAGTGTGGATGCAGTTGTTAAACCAACGTTTAATCGAAATGCAAATATAAAAAATAAACAGCAAGTTAAACCTGCCATAATTAAAAAAGATGAATATAGACATGTTTTAGCTTTGGTAAAAACTAGGAAATTGGAAGCTAATGACACGATTCTCATGATAATAAAGCCACATTTGTCTTGTAAGCAAACTTTCTTCTTCTTCCATCTTTCTGTAGACTATCACACCACATACGTGTGTTTTAAGTGTACTATTTAAAGCAAGCACACACCACCCCCACCCAGCCCTGCTCTTGTTTTCCGTCTTCGGTCACTTCAGGAAGTGCTCTCAAACACTGTCACAGCGGAAAGCTCTCGCTGCCTTGCTTCTTTCACTTCAGAGCAGTGGCGCTACAGTCCAAAGCCCTGGCACATGCCTCACCCAGCGCTCCTACTCAGATCCACTGCTCAATTTAATCTCTGCCTTGTGTAGTTTTGAAGCAGTAATTTTTATATTAGTGATGAACTAAAAATGTTGGTAACACTTTATTTCGATAGTCCACTTTAGATATTCTATTAACAGTAAGTAACTTTGCAACTACATGTCAACTAGCAGTTAGTAGAGTATTAGTAGACTGTCTGCTTAATATCTTCTAACACTTTCTTTGTCAACTTATTCTACTAACCCTAAACCTACCCTAACAGTCTACTCTGAGAGTTAGTAGACATGTAGTTGCAAATTAATGAGAATTAGTTGACATGTAGTTGACATGTAGTTACAAAGTTACTTATAGTTAGTAGAATGTCTAAAGTGGACTATCGAAATAAAGTGTAACCAAAATGTTATGTGAAATCTTAATCAATTCATGCACATGTTATAATTTAAACAAAACACTAAATGACTTACGCTCATGTGATTCAGGCAAAAATAAAAACATTGCTTTACTTTGGCCTCATTGGCAAACTAAATCAAATACTGATACACTATAAACAATTACATATTTTTATGAACTTTATTTAATATACACTACCTTTCAAAGGACTGTTTTTGAAAGAAGTCTCTTCTGCTCAAATGTATTTGTTCAAAAATACAGTAAACACTGTAATATATGATTACAATTTCAAATACCTGTTTTCTGTGTAAACTGTAATTTATTCCTGTGATCAAAGCTGAATTTTCAGCATTATTACACCAGTCTTCATTGCCACATGATCCTTCAGAAATCATGCTGATATACTGATTCGCTGCTCAAGAAACATTTCTGATTATTAGCAATATTGAAAACAGTTGTGCTGCCCAATATTTTTCTGGAAACTGAGATATATTTTCTTCAAGATTCTTAGATTTTGAAAGTTCAAGAGAAGCATTTATTTGGAATCTTTCTTTTTGTTCCGTAACAATGTAAAAGTGTTTACTGTTACTTTTGATCAACTGAATGCATCCTTTCTGAATAAAAGTGTAGTTTCTTAAAATAAATAAACAAAAATCCCACTGACCCTGAATTTTTGAACGGTAGTGTAACTCTAGATTATGTACTGTAGCTAGTATGTATTCTGGGTAATTCTGAAAAGCAGAAAATAAAATAGTCCAAGTCCATTTCTCTTTTTTTTTTTTGAACTTGCATAACAAGTGAATGAGACTCACAGGAATTTGCCGTTGACGTATGAGCTCCTGAGCAGCCGCTGCTCTGAGTCCTCGCGGTCGATCTTGCCATGGAACCACGGCATCTTCTCATGAGCCGTTGTGGCGATGAGTTTCTCCAGCTGAGGCCTCTGGCTGATGATAGCCTGCTCCAGAGCCGAGCCCTGCCACACCACAAACACAGCTAAGAAACTGCTCCAGTCTTACACCAACAAATACGCATTTGTGCTGACTTTTTTAATGCAGCATAGGGGCATTAAATAAATGCATTCACAATTGATGTAAATGTTCAAAAGCTGGCTCCACAAAACAAAACAAAAATATGTGTGAAGACTGTTGCGACAAGTGAAACATGACATTTTCACAGCTTATTTTATTCTCGTAATCTCACATACTGTACTTCTGACTGAAGTGGTATATTTAACATGCAAAATGTAATTTTCACCGTAAATTAATTACAAAGAAACAGCAAGTACCACATTGAACTAAACATGGAATTCTGAAGTAGAAAGACTGAAATAGTATTTTCTTGTAAAACATACTTTATTTTTACAGTGTACCAAAATGAGCAAGGGGATTGGAGGGAAGTAGTTGGAAACGAAAGAAGGATTTGAAACTTCAGCCAAATAAAGTTGTTTCATGCACAATAAGACAAAGAAAAAGTAATAATACTCTGCGTCGTGCCTAACAACGGCCCCTTAGCTGTTATAAATTCACTGTAAACCACGGCTTCACGGGGATTATTGCTGTTATAAAACGGTTATTCCATATACGTAGTAATGTTTCACAAAATAAAACAGAGCAAATAAAGTGTAATGATATTAATAAAAACAGTATTCTTCCACCAAACAATGTAGTTCCTCAGAAACAGTTGTGGTTGCTACAAAGTGGTTGCCGAGCAACAGACAAACGTAAACAAAGGTGTATGTTACTTTGTAGAGTCATTTACAACAGCTTCGAACGCGGCTCAGCCAATCAGAATCAAGCACCGGAACTATCTGTTTTATAATTTAAATTCCTTGATTTAAAAAAAAAAGCATTTTCCTTGTATTATTTCTGAACATATAATATACATAAGACAAGTTTGTACAAGATGTAGTTGTAGTTCATGCATCTTTTTTGCAAAGATATTTAACGTTAACAAGTGCTCCGGTTTATAAATAGTAAATACATGAGCTCAATACTCCATTGCAACAATTGTCTCATTCTGAGCATAACTAATGACTCAAATACCAAACTCATGAGAAAACGTAACTATTTTACATTTTGGCAAATTTGTATCACTTTGTACAATCTGATTTATACACAAACGTGTTTAGAAATAAAATCTAACTAAATCTAACTGTCAATAGAGCGCAAACAGATTTTACTGTATGAAAACATAAAAAAAAAGTGATTGTACAAATTCATGAAAGTCTGCCAAAAAGTTATGAATTACCATGAAAGTGTGCTGCAAATACTATAGTTTTCTGAGCTATGAAAGAGCAACCTCTGAGCTATTAAATAAAGGGTTATACATCATTTTGATAGTCCACTTTAGACATTCTGCTAACTGTAACTAACTTTGCAACTACATGTCAGCTGGCTCTCATTAGAGTATTATTAGTCTGTTAGGTTAGGGTTAACAGAATAAGTTGACGTGCAAAGTTACTTATACTCAGTAGAATGTGTGTTGAAGGACCATCAGAATGAAGTGTTAGCAGATATTAAGCAGACAGTGTTTCAAAGTATTGCAAAGTGACTTATAGTTAGCAGAATGTCTAAAGGGTTACCAAATGTTTTAAGTTTTAAACTGACACCAACCTGCAAATTCCAGGTTTGTTTGACATACTGCCGGATGAGCTGCTCTTTCAGGTCCTCAAAGGGCCCGACTTTAGGCTCTGTGCCCCTGGGCCGGTTGAAGGGCCTCTTCAGCAGACAGATGAGCCCGTCGGACTCCTGCGAGTGGTAGTCGATCACATCTATGGGGTTTCTGTGGGATTTCCCACCGGCGATGGCGTAGGTGTCGTTCATCTCCCTCTCGATGGTGTAGTGGTAGAGCTGGCGACCGTAGGCCACCGACAGAGCGAACCCGCCGAGGAAGCTGCGGCTCTGGCGCAGCAGGTACAGGCCGTCCCCCGCTCCTCCCTGCCGCAGGTACTCCTCCGCCTCCTCTCGCGTGATGTTGCCGAAGAAGTACGGCAGCACCTGCACCTTGTCCGCCATATCTGCTCAACCGTCTGCCAAAGCTAAGAGGACCGCTAATAACCTGAAAAAGACATGTGTAGATCATTTCTCTTTTTTTTGTAGTAGTAGTCAAAATCAGTGAGAGGCTTCAAGCAAACCCTCATCTATTGATTACTTTTCTAAATTTCTAACAAATGTTTTCTGTTAATCTTTTTGAAACATTTAAAGCAGGCAGGGTTTAACCTTACAGTAGGACTCAGCGCTGATTACTGTCAGGCTTTCGAAATCCTTCATCACTTGAATTAAGATTATAATCATTTCATTTTAAAGCACAGCCACCACAAAAGCACCTCTTTTTACGTTGAGACCGTTCTGAGGTTAAATACAGATTTGAAATAATAACAAGATATAGTTTAATAGCTATGATACTGTTTTTGAAATCTAATCTTTGCACAGCTATGACAGGAAACACAGGCATCTAATAGTAAATCTTAAAAAAAACTAAAACATATACATAAACCCAAATAGGAAATAAATCAGTTATCGTATAAACGTGTCCTATTCTGTGTCCTGAACTCCTGAAACATTGCTGTCTCATATTTTCAAGCAGTCAATGCAATTTGGGAAAGAAATCAATTAAATCTATATGTGGGTGTGTGTGAAAATATTCAGATGTAACCCCCTTTGTAATCTTTAACATTTTCATAGCTAACTGTAATTTAACACATTTTTTCTCAGTAACTGATTACAGTTACATTTAACCATTTAACTCCGTTACATGTAACTAGTTACTCCCCAACACTATGTAATATACAACCATGTAACGGCAATAAGGCACTCAAGACTGTGGTGCATTATGAATGAATGTTGTGCCCAACTACAGTAATTAACCATGATTACATTATACTGTAAATATAATACATTTTCAAAGAAATGAAATATTGTACCAATGCAGGAAGCACTCTTTTTGTGTTTTACTTGTTTGTTTGTTTGTTCTGTTCACTCACACCTGACACTGTTTACTAACGTCTTGTTATCTTTAACATTATCTTTCGCGTTTCATTTTAATCTGCCTGTCTGTTCCTTCACAATGCAATGAAAATTTGTTTCACTCAAATTTTTTGTTATGGTTCTTCTGTAATTCCGTGGTGCTAATTATACAATTTATTTTCACGAAGCATCAATATTTTGGTAAATTAGGTCAGGTACATTTGAGAACTTCTATCATTAATTATGAAACATTGGTTTTTGTACTAATTTTGCATGTTTTTTAAATGACATGCAAGACATTTGCAAGGATGGGAACATTCTAGAACATCCAGTTTAGTGATCTAACATTCCTGAATGTTTTCTAATATTCCAGAAGTTTCTGAAACAATCGAGTGCTTTCTGGAACATTCCAGAACATTGTGGGACTAGTCATAAAAGACAAAAATAAATCATCCAACGGACACTTCTGAAGTTTTGGTAACTGTTGATGTTAAATGCATGTACCATGTCATTTTTATGCAGGAGTAATAACAGAATAGCTTGTACAAGTTGTCAACATATATAGTTTTTTCATGAGCACTGTTAATGATACACAAAAAGTAAAGTGATTTTCATATTCAGCATGTCAATGTTCATAAAGAAACTTAAAAAGTAAAAGCTTTTTTTGAAACTCTAACCTGTGTAAGAAGTTAAAAGGCATGCGCCACTGAGAAACTAGTTCACGCAGAAAGAGGAAGCGGTCAAATCTTTTGCAATAACATTCAGCCTCGACTACAACTTAAGCCCACACCCAGGAGATGTTTAAGGCACTTAAAGATGACTATAAGCCAACCAGATGAAACCGCTCAAGTCATGGACTTAAAGCAAGGTCACACAATTGAGCACTTGACATGGAAATGAGTGAGTTCATGCTTCAAGAGAGAATTTGCTTAATACAACATTGTTGATACATAAGTGACAAGCGCTGTGGCAAAAAGAAAAAGAGCGCACTCACAAAATAGTCTGGCATCATAATCATTTTAAATGAATTGTAATAATGTCCATGCAAACTCATAACTAATTATTTATTTCGGCAATTTAAGCCCAGTTTAAATGAATATATCTTGATATGACTGTCCTACATTTTTGTTTACCTGTTATCTAGTGGTCAGCGAAAGCCAGGCCTGAGGGAAATACAGTACACTCTCTCAGCATTACAGTTTGCTTTATTTATTTTCATTCTGCTTCATTTTGTCTATAGAAATATACATTCATTTTCCCATTATTATCAATAATGAGGAATTAATGTGACTGAAGTATCAGTCAAAATGCCAAATGAAGCAAGCAGAAGACACATCTTCTGTCCTTTTTACTCACTAAAAAGCAACCTCAAACGCAAACGCTAATACAAAACCTCAGAGCCTCGTTTTCATGCATGAAAGAGAAGCAAGCAGATTCTGAGTCGAAGTAGATTCATCAAATTCAACCACAAAAGATTCCATAAAGAAGAAGCCCGTGTCAGTGTCATTGTAACCTGACAGCGAAGCATAAAAGGTTTGTGATGGAAAATGTGGTTGTAGCATTGTGTGAATTGCATCAGAAATCCCTAAATGCAGCAAAGCAGCACGATGGCTGTGATCAACCATGTATAGCTACAGAGACATGTGCCACTGGTCAGATGTGCAAGCTTTAAATGATGTAATGTGGGAATTTTACTAGTTCTGCATTTTAGACCTACGGCATTTTGGGGAGATATCATAAAATGCATTTTATTAGGATGTTTTGTTGAGTCAAAATGATGGCATAATAATATTATGCCCTATATTAAGATGTAGGTATATAAATTGGTTGCTATTAAGATCTTGTTTTACAAACTAGTTTTGCTTTGTGTTAGAAACTAATAATAATAATCAGCTAACTCTGGACTATAATGTATATATTACACACATACACACACATATATATAGGTTATAGGTAGGTAAGACCAATAGTGGGAAAAGTTTCTAAATTATACAGTTCTTTCATTAGAAATGATATTATAACGCAATAATTTATTAGCATTTGTTATGTTAGTTAAGTTTGTCATAACATCTTTGTTGTAAAAGTTTCAAAATCCTGTAACTTTCAGGATATTTCCACCTTAAATTATATTTATATAATGTTTTTACAAAATCTCCATTGTGAATACCAAAATTCAGACATTTGGACCTCGCTATATATGTTTACATGTGAAAAACATGAATGCAAATATTCAGGATTTTTATGCAATCATTAAAAAATTGTTGTTGAATTATTAACACAAATCCATTAAATACATTTGTAATTTAATCAATAATCAAAAACAAACAATCGCCTTCTTCAAACGAACTGTGGGTCCACAATAAGACAGAGAAACATCTGATATTCTTGAACAGCTTGACTTTTTGCTTTTTGCTTTTTTACTTCAAAGTAACTAAATAATGACAGATCAGGTAATGCCACAACAAAGTGAGATATTACACAGATAATTTAAACAGATTCACTAGAACCTTTTTCCTTTTATTTTCATGATTCCATATCAATATATTAAGATTTACAATATAAGAAACACGAATATATAAGAAGTAATAAGAAATATCTGAAGAGAAGCCATTTAAAATTGTCATTTTTTCATCACATCAATCGCTTAATTGCTTTAATTCACACTTAATTCAATCAGCCTGAAGAATTCATGCAGTTTAACATCATACCTGAGCACAAAATCTTACATACGCATACAACAAATACTACATGCAGAGAAATAGACACATTCTTACCTTACAAAGCGTTCGGTTCGCCTCACTTTGGACAGTGACTACACACCATGTTCAAATTGCTGTCGAACTGAACAGGATGTGGTACGACCAAAAACTCAGTGGATAATTCAAAAGAAGCCGGTTCAGGAACACTAGTGCTAAGAGTAAACTGAAACTATGGGTGAATACTGATGCGCTGAAAGGTGTTTTCACCTTCGTGTTGCTGTTATTGTACTGACACAAACTTCAGTAAGTAAATGGAACTATTTGTAGACTTCCTCATTTTGAGAAACTTCTGCCTACTTCCTTCACAATTTTTTTTTTTCGTCCTATCTTTGACTTCCTCTTCTATCTGAGAACGAAAACACATAATAGCAGATATTTAGTTGCCATGAGATTTGCTAAAATGTTCATCTTCCTAAAGTTGGCATTAAACAAACATCATGCTATATACAGTTTGTAACATTCAAAATACACTGAAAACAAACCAAACCAAAAAATAAAGTGATTTCAAATTAAAACAAGATGATTTGTATTAATCAGTTCATTCATACCTAATAATCCTCCTAATTATCTATTGAGATAATACTTTAATATGATAACAAATAAGCAATGCTTGCTTAACAATTAATAAAAACTTCAATAAATTATGAAGCATGTAAGCCACAACTTACATAATTAAATAATAAAAACCCATAAAATAATGCATGAACCAAACTATAAATGAACATTTAATATGTGCCAGGTTTATAATCAGTAGACTAGCAGGAAGAGCAGATGTGTTTTGTGGTTCATTGAGCTGAACCCAGCTGTGATGGCTACTGTGCAAATTTACTTTTGTTTACTTTAGTTCAAGGTGTTCTGCATTATATCTGAATGTCAAGCTGAGATGATATAAATATGACATGTATTTTATAATTGTGATCATTATTACAAATATAAGAAACACTCAAATAATATATCTTGTGCTACACATGCCAACACAGAGGGTTTTTCATTCTAGCAGCAGAGAGAAATGCAGAGTTGTGCCTTACAGCTGCAAGAACAATCATCTGAGAGTTTCGCAACAAAGTGACATTTAAACTCTGAATCCTGGATCGCATTTTACGCTTCATGATTGCTAAGTGGGGACCAATTCTTTTTCTTTCTTTCTTTCTTTCTTTCTTTCTTTCTTTCTGAGCATTCTGGATATGCACTTGAGGTACAGTACTTCTCAAAAGTTTTCAAAAGTGTTTTTAATTAAGTCTCTTCTGCTCGCCAAGCCTGCATTTATTTGATCAAAAATACGGTGAAAGCTGTAATATTGTGAAATATTATTGCAATTTCAAATTATACTTTT